CATTTGAATTTTGGCTCTGCCACTTAATTACCTGTGTGACTTTAGGCAAGTCACTTAATTTCTCTGGGCATGGATTTCCTCATATCTAAAATGAGGGAGTTAGATTAGGTGTTCTTTAAGTCCATTTCAACTCTAAATCTATGATTCTACGACCTCTAAGACATCCACAACTTCTTACTCTGGCTCAGAACTTTTTCTCTGACCTTTGCCTTATGCACCAAGTCCATATTTTGGTAATCAGTTCTATACACTTTCAATCAGTATGTGTGCCTCAACCCTGCCTATACATTCCATCTGTATTTGCCTGCCATTCTTCCTCTTCTTCTGAATAGCCCAGCCCTTGCTTTGCAGCCTAGGAAGCTAAGTAGTTAGATAAGAATGAATCTCTTATAACTTTCTGCATGGATCCAGGAGGCAGCCTCCTATATCATCTTAGTCTGTATCTAAAAAGTAGAATTAGAAAGCCACAGAAAAGTAGAATTAGAAAGTTAGGGTTGGAAAGGACCTTAGAAATCATTTATTCCAACTTCCTCATTTGACAGGAAAAGGAAAATGAAGCCTAGACTTGGGAGAGGATTTGGGCAAAGTCCAATAGATACTTGGTGGCCCAGTTAAGACTACAATATAAGTTTCCTGTCTCTTAGGCTAGTGCTATTCCCATTCCATACTAATATTCTGTTTTCATCTGACGCTATTACTTTAAAACCCTTGGCTTCAATGGAAGGGAGTTTGGGTAACTGGTTCTCAGCCTTAGCCTCTTTCTGAGTCAGCATCTTTTATTCATTTATCTGAGCCTAGACCTCAATGGTCAAGAAAAGAACAGTTATGAGAAGGAAGAAGGATTTCATGACTGGGGGGTTCCTAGAGCTTTAGAATCACTGATGGAATAGTAGCAGCCTGATTGTCTTTGGAGAGCAGAGAAAGACTGATCCTTTATTTATTCCCAGAGTCCTGGAGCAGGATCAAAGCCTGAAACCTACAAAGATAGGAAGGCCTAAGAGTTTATAGGGATGGGTGGTTCTGCCATAACCCCCCAGCCCCAAATTTACTTTGATGTTCCTTTATTCTGGCAAATCTATGCACACAAATAATAATAAATTATTATTAATTTACCATAATGATACTGATCATGATAATTCTGTTTTCTATCTGCTGGGATTTTTACCTGTCATAATCAGTATACATTTGAGTATTCCACTCTTTCCTTCAGAGTAGACAGAAAAACAATAATTTCTTCTTAAAAGAAAAAAAAAAGCCTTATGTAACTTCCAGTCATTTTCCCACATGACCAAGACTTCTAGGAAAGAATCAGTACCATCAGATGCTTTATCAAAATTAAATAGAACCCCATCCTCATACAGCTAAAGTATTGACCTCACATGGAGTACTATATTCAATTTAAGGTGACATATTTTATTTTATTTTTTAATATTTTAATAGGCAAAATTATTTATTACTGGTATGGGGATATCATTCTTTTTTATACATTAATTTATTTTGATTTATCAACCATCACTTCCGTAAGCTTTTAAGTTTTAAATTTTTCTCCCCCTCACTCCCCACCTCCCTCCCCAAGATGGCATGCAATCTGATATAGGCTATACATATACTTTCCTATTAAACACATTTTCACATTAGTGATGTTGTAAGTAAGAATTAGAACCAATAGGAGGAATCACCAGAAAGAGGAAACACAACAGAAGAAAAAAAAATAGCAAATAGTATGCTTCGATCTGCATTCAAACTACATAGTTCTTTCTCTGGATGTGGATAGCATTTTCTGTCTTGAGGCCTTTGGAGATGTCTTAGATTCTTCTATTGCTGAGAAGGTCTAAGTCTATCAATATTGGTTATCACACAACATGGCTGTTACTGTGTACAATGTTCTTCGGGTTCTACTCACCTCACTCAGTATCAGACCATACAAGTCTTTCCAGATTTTTTTTTGAAGTCTGCCTGTTCATCATTTCTTATAGCACAATAGTATTCCATTACATTCATATACCACAAATTGTTCAGCCATTCCCCAATTGATGGGCATCCTCTCAATTTCTAGTTCTTTGCCACCACAAAAAGAGCTGCTATGAATATTTTTGCACATGTGGGTCCTTTTCCCATTTGTATGATCTCTTTGGGAGATATCCCTAGAAGTGCTATTGCTGGGTCAAAAGGTATGCACATTTTTATAACCCTTTGGGCATAGTTCCAAATTGCTCTCCAAAATGATTGGATCATTTCACAACTCCACCAACAATACATTAGTGTTCCAATTTTCCTACATCTCCTCCAACATTTATCATTTTCCTGTTTTGTCATGTTGGCCAATCTGATAGGTATGATGTGGTACCTCAGAGTTATTTTGATTTGGATTTCTCTAATCAATAGTGATTTAGAGCATTTTTTTCATATGACTATAGATGGCTTTAATGTCTTCATCTGAGAACTGCCTGTTCGTATCCTTTGACCATTTATCAATTGTAGATAAGGTGCCATATTTTAGTAAAGAAATTGACAACCTCAGTATATACAGAAGAGGGTGATCAGGAGGGAGAGGGAACTTAAGACAATGCCATAAGGGATCAATTGGAGGAACAGGTGTTGTTCTGCCTGGAGAAGATATAAGGAGGCATGTGAATATTGTCTTCATGTGTGAAAGAGGTTGTTTCATGAGGAAGTACTGCTGCTTGGCCCCGGAAAAAAGGACAACCTTCAGGGAGCAGAAAATTTCCATGGAAGGAAAAGTCTTCCAAACTGCTGTCCAGAAGTGCCTCATTGGAAATTCAAGTCAGAACTGGAAGGTCATTTGCTAGGGAGGCAGTAAAACAGATTTTCCATCAGGTACAGGATAGAGCATCTGACCTCCAAGATTCTTTCTGATCCCAAGACTCTGTGCTTCTGTGCTTCTGATATGTCAGAGACAAGGAAAAGGTCATGTCCTAAGATTTTCTGTTTAATATATTAGAATCATTTAATGTAAGACCTGAAAGAGACTTTAGAGATCAGTTCTTTAAACTTTCTCTATTTTGTAACTGAGACCCATAGAAACACAGTGGATCAGGGGCAGAACAGGAACTACATAGACTCCAAGTCTCCTAATTCCAAGTCCAGTGTTCTGTTATGTCCAGAGAAGCACTATCTGCCCATTTTTCTGTCCATACAAGTGAGGATTTGACCCACATTGTGGGACTTGGACAGTGACAGTCTTCCAGGTTCATAGTCTCAGCATGATCCTTGACTACTCATTTTATATTACCCTACATATCCAACAAGTTGTTAAATCTTGTAGTTTCTACCTCCACAACATCTCTTGCCCTCTGATCCCTTCTCTCCATTCATACAATTACTATCTTGGTTAGCCCCTCATCACCTTTTATCTCATTGTTATAACAGCTTCTTAATGATTCTCTCTCTCTCAAGTCTCACCATCTAGTCTATTTGACACACTAATGCCAAAATAATCTTTTTTAAGAACAGATTTGACCATGTGGTTCCACTATTCAATCACTACAATGGTTTTCTATTGTCTTTGGAATAAAATATAAACTTCTTTGTTTATTCTTTAATGCCCTAAATAACCTGGACCCAACCTATCTTTTCAGTCTTATTGAATATTACTCCCCTTTCTGCATTCTGAAATACAGGGAAACTAGCTTTCTTTTGGTCCTTGAACTCAACACTCTGAATCTCCATGCCTTTGCAGGAGCTTTCACCAAGAGTCAATATTCATTTCCTTCCTGCCTCCACTATACATAGTTCCCATCTCCCTTTAAAATGCTGCTTGTGAGTGTCAGAGATACAACTTGAATTTAGGCCATCCTGGCTCTGAGTATAACACTATTTTAATTGTGTCACAGTTTCTCTCTCCAGGCATTGAATAGGGAGTAATGTCTACTGAATTTTTATTTATTTGTTTTATTTTTTGAAATTTTGTTTATTTTTTTTTTAGACAAGTGGGGTTAAGTGACTTGCCCAGGGTCACACAGCTAGTAAGCGTCAAGTGTTTGGTCTGAGGTCGGATTTGAACTCAAGTCCTCCTGACTCTAGGGCCAGTGCTCTATCCACTGTGCCACCTAGCTGCCCCTCTACTGAATTTTTAAAAGCTGCCTGTGGTTACACAGTATAACTCAGTTAATCAGAGCCTGATCCTTCCCAGGTCAGCTAATAAAATCAAACTTCTGAGCCAACAAGCTCAGAATCTTAGAGCTGAATTTTAGACTGTTTCTGCTAGCAATGATCTTAGAAGTCACCTGTTCTAATCTCCTCCTTTTACAGAGGCAGAAAGGACCTCATGGGCTAACTAGCCTGAAACATCATAGAAAGTGAAAAGATTGACAGAGATGGCTCCAATGTCATTTGCATAATAATTTACACTTGTCAAAATGTTTACAATCACTATCTTATTTAATCTCCATAACCCATATTCTACTACCTCCTTATATCAGGCAGACTGACAGGTAAAACTATACTCCCTTTACAATTTAGGAAACTGACATGGAGAGATTTAGTGGTTTAAGGAAGATCACTACTCTTACAGAGGCCCAGATCTCAGGTTCCTACGTAGTATGGGATTCAGAGTCAGGAAGACCTGAATTCAAATTCTGACTCAGAAACTTACTAGCTATGTGACCTTAAGCAATGTATTTAAATCTCTCTCAGCTTCTTCCTCATCTGTAAATTAGGAACAATAATATTCCCTACATCACAAATTTGTTGAAAATGAAATATATGTAAAGCATTCTGAAACATTGCTAATTGAATGCTAGCTAGCTATTATTATTTTCCTACTTCCCCAATGATCTCCTCCAGGACATGCAACAAACCCTGTCACTAGTAAACATGGCATTAGACCAAAAGTTTGACCTAATGCACTATAAATTTCATGAAAAGAGGATGCACCTGTGTCCAGCTTAGAAAGAACAAAGAACCCACAGAAGTGCCTCCATATTGAGATAAGGAATCAGACAAATGGGAAGTGAGAGGTATTATCACACATAATATCCTGAATGAAGCCAGATATACCAAGAAGGGCAGTGGGAACAGATCAAAGGAACTTCAAAGGGACAGGACTCCCACCTCTTTGAGAATCTGAGGCTGAGGATCCTCTATAAATATAACCATGGACTCTCTCTGTCTGCGGTGTTCAGAGAACCTCAGTACCTGCTGAACTTCGCTGACAGCAAAGTCCCAACCAAGCTGCAACCATGAAGTCTCTCTGTCTCCTCTTTGCCCTACTTTTGTTGCCTGTCCAGACCACAGCTGAGAAGCCAGCAGAAGATACAGGACTCAATTCTCAGGCTGAAGATGCAAAACAGACTCAAGTGAAGGTGAATTCTGATGGCCCACAAAAATTCTTCCTGCCAAGTCATACTTTTGGTAAGAGGACATTGCATCTAGGGAAAGTTGGGAGATTTTAGACATGGGGATGATCGGGTCTAAGAAAGTGAAGAATGAACAGGTTTGTAAGATCATATACAGGATCATTGATTTAGAACTAGAAGGGACCTTGGATCAAATCCAACCCCCCTCATTTTACAGATCAGGAAATTTAGGCCCCTAGGGATTGTGACCTGTCCACAGAAAGTAAGGTTCAGAGATGGGATTTAAATCCAGGACTCCAGAGACAGGATTCTTTCCGCTGTATCATGCTGCCTCTCATTCCTCTAGGCTGAGAGGCAGAGCACTACCATACAATGATGATTTGTAATTCTACCCGTTTCTCTCTGCTTTGTCCAAAATTACAGTTTTTCTTTGCTGGATGGCAAATCTCACACTTTTGCAAGGATACTTACTTCTTGTTCATTTGCATGCTTCAAGGGAAAGCAAGGAAAAGATGAAGTGAGATGCTGGTTAAGAGTTGGGGAAAGGAGATATTTTCTTAGGGACCTTTTTGAGTTCCCTGTCAGGAAACAAGCTAGTGACCCTGTTTCTTCAGGGTCAGACAGAAGGTAATAAGTCATAAACTTAGTACTATAGGGACCAAACCCTACCAGCTTCCAACAGCCTCTACTTTCAGCAGTAAAGGGTGCCTGGTGCTCTGGGAACAGAGCTTGTAGCAGATTCTCAAGTGAGGTAATGGTCCTGGGTAATTAGTTTTCACCTCCACTCACCCAGATGATGCCCACTTAGGAGGGGATCAAGTCTACATCGTCATCTGCTTTGTGGCAAAGTCAGCATGTGTACTGAATAAGGTCTCCCTGTCCCAGCTATCCTCTAACCCAACCCCAAAGTACTTCACAGTTTCTTGACCACCTGAACCCTAATGTTCCATTTGTACCCCAGGGAGTATTGAGTTGCTTGTCCAATAGCTTCCTCTTTTTAGGATAATCACCCAAAGCTCCAGATGTTCTCATATCCCAGACTTTCTGGGAAAAAGACTGGCATGTACTGCTGCATCCCCAGGGCTCCCAACCTTTCTCTTCACTATCTGAGTGCAGTACTCCTTCCCTGTTTTTTTCTTAGTCACTTCCAAAGGTATCAAATATGACGCAACCCTTCATCAGGAGTGGCAAAGTACAGTAGAGAAAGAGCTAGCTAAACTCAGAGTCAGGAAATCCATGTTCTGGTGCACTCCAGTATCAGACTTGGCCATTCAGCCCCCAAAGCCTTCTACACCTCACACATAGGAGTCCTTCCCCAGCAATCTCACCAGTGTAGGGGACCCTCTCCTATCAACTTGAAAACCAGGCACTTTGCCAGGTCTATTGTAGTCTAATCATAACTTTGGTCTTCAGGAGGACTGGGAGCATCCTATGTATCCTTGGAGAGGATTAAGAAAGGGAGAAATTCAAAAGAGGCAAGGTGGTGGAGGTAGTTTCCACCTGGGTTCCTCTAGGGGTATTGGAAGGAGAGGGTAAATACTGCAGAGCACTATAAAGGTGTGAATGTAAACCCATCTTTGTCTTCATCAGCATCACCCTCACCCCCATCGCCATTGTCTAGATTCACCCCATTTAGTTCTTTGACTGTGCTGTTGGGATGATATGCCTTTGGCAATGGGGAAAGGGGTGGGGAAATCTATGAATCAAATTCCAGTGCTGCTTAGAGGTATCCCATGATAGCTGAAAGTGATTGTGAAAATCTCTCCCCATAGGTCGGACCAGGGGGCTAACTGCCTGCAGTTGTTTCTGCCAACATCGTTGTGGTTATGCTGAAAGTCGATGGGGCTCCTGTGGTAGCAAACTTCTTTGCTGCCGATGTAGATGATTGTCCACCAGCTGTCAGCAGGTGTCTGTGCACTAACAGCCAACTCTTCCCTACCGTACTGTGTCATTAAACACCATCCTTGTTAGCATTAAGATCCGTGTCTGTGATGTAATTGTGCAGGCGGGTTCTTAAGTTAAATATGAGCCTATGAAAGAGGAAAGGGAAGGGGAAGAAAGGAGAGGGGAGGGAAATGAAGGCTGCTCTGGTTCATGTTTGCCCCTTTTGGAGGCGTTTTGTTTGCTTTTGTTTTTCTGAGACTATAGCTGACATTTTATGTATCCCTTCACCCTTCATATACTCATGCAATTTCATATTTCTTGGATATTTGAAGGTTTACAAAGCACTTCGCAACATATCTGTGATGGAGGCAAATGCAAATAGGATCCTAGGGCTAGGAGCTGGGAGGGTCTTCAGAGGTCATTTGGGCCAAACTTCAATTTGATAAAAGCAGAAACTGAGGCTCAAAGAAACCTGAGCCACAAAACTAGCATTTATGAAGCACCTGCTATGTGTCAGGTAGTATACTAGGTGCTGGAGAGATGAAGACACAACTGAGACAGTCCCTGCCCACCAGAAGCTTCCATTCCATTATGGAGGTATGCTGTATTCACAAATGAACACAGAAAATATATAAAATAAATACATAATGACTGAGAGTGGGGGGAAGATGTCCTTGAGCTGAACCTTAAAGGGAGCGAAATGTTCCAGGAGACAGATGAAGAGGAGAGCAGTCCAAGGATGGGGAACAAGCAACCAGTTCAAAGACACAGGAGCTGGAGTTGGAAATAGAAAATAGTCCAGTCAGTCTGCCTGGAGTATAGAAAACATGAGGGTGACTTAGGGGGAATCAGTCTGGAAACATAGGCTGGAGCTGGGCTGTATAGGGCTTTCAGTGCCAAATAGAGGAGTTTGTACTTTGTCTATAGGTAGAGGGTAGCAGCCACTGAAGCTTCTTGAGTAGAAAAGTCACATACTCAGATCTCCATTGTAGATACCAGAGGAAGGATTCAATAAACAAGAGACGATGGCTGGAGACCACTTAGGAGGCTATTGCCATAGTTCAGGTGAAAGATAATTAGGGTCTAGCTAAGGATTGAGGTGGTATGACTAGAAAGGAGGGGCCATAGACAAGAGCTGCTGAAAAGATGGCACTGAAAGATTTAGTAACTATTTAGTTATGGGGATTAGGGTATGGGAAGGTGAGATTACTCCTAGTTTGGAAACCACGGTTACTAGGAAGATTGTGGTGACTTTGACAAAATTAGGGAATGAGTATAGGGGCAAGATAATGAGTTCTGTGTTGAGTACGATGTCTAGGTACAGATAACAAGAAAATAGTAAAAAATGACTGAACTGCCAGAGACAGATGAGGGCTGGAGAGATTGATTTGGGAGTCATCTGCATAGGCATGATGATATAATCCATAAGAACTACTGTCACCAAGACAGAGTATAGACAGAAAAGAGGAGAGGAGCCTGGGACAGAGGCCCAGAGTTCCTGCAGGTATAGGGGATGGACTGACAAAGGAGACCACTACTGTTCAGCAGATAGGAAGAGAAACAGAACAGAGCAGTGTTATGAAAATTCGAGGAGGAGAGAATATCCAGAAGGAGGGGGTGATCAACAATGTTCACAAGCACAGGGAAGTCGAGATTAATGAGGACTAAAAAATAAAGCCACTGGACTGACCAATAAAAACATCACTGGTAACCTTGGAGAGAGTAATTTCAGTCTGCGAGGCTTCCTTTCTGGAAATGGAATGAGGAAGGCTTTCAAAACAAAAGTGATAGAGCAGAGTACTGGGCCTGGAGTCAGAAAGACACAAATTCAAATCCAGCCTCAGGCACTCACTACTAATGTGACCTTGGGCAAGTCATTAACCTGTATTTGCCTCAGTTTCCTCATCTGCAAAATAGGGATAGCAAACGCAACTGCCTCAGGGTGATTGTGAGGATCTAATGAGTTAAGGTCCTTTCTAGGTCTAAATCTATAATCCTATGATTCTATGATCCTGTGAGAAGCAGGTAGTGGCACAGTGGACAGAATGCTGGGCCTAAGGCAGGGGTGGGGAACCTGCAGCCACATGTGGCCTTAAGGCTGCAGGTTTCCCACCCCTGGTCTAGAGTCAGGAAGCCCTGAGTTCAAATCCAGCCTCAGACACTAGCTGTGTGACCCTGGGTAAGTCATTTAATCTCTGTCTGCCTTAGTTTCCTCAACTGTAAAATGAGGATAAGAATATCACCTCCATCTTAGGGTTATTGTGAAGCTCAAATGAGATAATATCACCTCCATCTTAGGGTTGCTGTAAAGCTCAAATGAGATAATATCACCTCCATCTTAGGGTTGTTGTGAAGATCAAATGAGATAATATTTGTCAAACCTCTCCGCACAGTGTCTGGCACATAGCAGGAAATATAAAAATACTTGTTCCCATCCTAGAATCCTTTTCCTGTCATCTTCCCATGACACAATCACCTGAGCCAAAAGGCACTTGTTTTTATAGGAAATGGAGGCCTAGGAATGTCTCCAAATTATTGATGGCTTTGTAGGTCAGAGTATTCTGGAAAATATATTTCATCTCCTTTAGACATGACTCTCTTGTACAAGTCCTGTACTTTGCTTATTATGCTATACTACTCCAATGCTTTCCTATCTGTGTTTGCTCATACTGTTTCCTCTGCCCATAATGTCCTTTCCTACAGTTCCAAGTGTCCATTTCCTTCTCATTCTTTAAGAACCAGTTCACATGTCACCTTCTTCATGAAGCCTCCTTCCCTGACGCCTCATCCAGAAATGATCTCTCCTTCCTTTGGACCAACATAGCTCTTAGTCTCTGGTCCCTCTTCCTATTCTTTCATAATTTGCCTTTTCTAATAGTTCTTTGAGGGGCAGCATCAGAACCCAAAATGAGGATAGGGTGATTGGAGTTTTGCCCTAGGGGGATTATTTGCTGAAGGGCAAGAAATTAGTTTGGGGAGGGAAAACTTAATTGATGAGGAGAAAGTGAGTACAACAGCTTCACATCTCTAAGGAAGAAGGCAGAGTAGATCTGTGTTGGGATGGGAATGGAGTGACAGGATGTTAAAAGTAGGGTTGGGAGCATATGACTCTACCAGATAAAGGAGGCAGCACAGGTGTTAGCAGCTGAGAAGAAAAGGAGTTGGCTTTGGGGCAATCTCTGCCCTGACAATCCCTTATCTCCACCCCAACCTCATAATGGTGGAGGTGGAGTATGGGAGAGTGGATTTTTCAGAAGAAGAAAAAAAAAGTGACTGGTCCATGGCCAGGAAACCTGGGGTGATGATTTGGGGAGTGTGAGTGGGGGGAATGGTCCATAGGAAGATTAGTTTGAAAGTAGAGTGGCTACCCTGTGAGCCAAGACGGGGTCTTCCCCAAGAAAGGCTTCTGGAACAGGGACCAAGCTGCTCTAGGGAGGGAAATGCTTCTCCAGGACTCTTTTCTACAAGATCCAGCTTAGGAGAGGGACAGTGGGAGGACCACGTCAAGGAGGAGGGGGAATCAGGCCTTTAGTCTTGGGACTTTTACTGTTACTCGAAATTGTGCATTCCTTGCATCTCAAATGTCCACGCATAAAAAGACAAGAGGCAGAGCTAGCTTGGAGCCAGGGTATATTTTGAACATCTCAGGGGTGCCTGTCTAGTAGCTTCCTCACCACCTCCCTGTTCAGCTTTTTATCCTGAATCATGAGATCAGGCACTGATGCTCTAGAAGCACTGGTGTATCCATTGGGGAAGTCAAATTCTGACACCCTGCCTACAAGATCACTGGCCTGGGAATCAGGAGACCTTGTGTCTACTTCCTGCTCTGATATTTACTATATAAATTTTTTAAAATGTTAGATGGTTTCTACAAGGTAGTCTTTAAGGTCCCTCTCAAAGAGTCTGAATCTAAGAAGTTTGGGACCTGTTGAGCATCATTTCAGCTAAGCTCAGTTTAATTAAGATATGAGTGAGTTTTCCTCTGTAGCTTTGAAAATGTTGCTTCTGTCCTTCTGGGGGCCTTTGCAAAGAAACCAATTATCTTTGAATTTCTGAATCTAACGATCTTTTCTTGATGCTCATCCTTCTTGACCTCTCTGCAGCCTCTGACGCTGTTGACCACCTTCTGCTCCCATATACTCTGAAAATACTTCGTATTTTCATGATACACCTCTCTCCTGGTTCTCATGATACCCGTATGACCATTCTTCAATGTGACCACTCAGACAACCACCACCCTAGTTCTGACCTGGACCATCTCTCAACTAGACTTTGCAAGAGCCTCTTAATTGGCCTCTCTGCCTCATGTCTCTCCCTCCTCCTACCCATTTTCCATTCAGTTGCCAAAATGACTTTCCTAAAGTGGAGCTCTGTGGATAGCATCCTCCAACTTGGACTACAGGGGGTCCCAGCAAACTCCAGCATCAACTTTAAAATCCTTTGTTTGGTAATTTTAATGCCTTTCACAACCAAGTCACTTGCTACATTCCCAAGCTTCTAACTCCTTCCACACTTTACAATCTAGCAACCCCTGCCTTCCTGTTGTTTCTCACATTGATGTGTCTCTGTTCCTTTGCATTAGTCATTTCCCATGTTTAGAATGTTGACTCTTCTAACCTCCAATCCTTAAACCCCCTGTTTTTCTTTAAGATTCAACCCAAGGTTTATTTCCTCCAGCAGGCTTTTTCTTTTTTCTTTTTTTTTTTGGCTAAGCAATGGGGTTAAGTGACTTGCCCAGGGTCACACAGCTAGTAAGTGTCAAGTATCTGAGGCTGGATTTGAACTTAGGTCCTCCTGACTCCAGGGCTGGCACTCTATCCATTGCATCACCTAGCTGCCTCCAGTAGGCTTTTTCTTATCGTCAGCCCCTCCCCCAGGTACTAGGGCCATCAACCCTAAGGTTGCCTTCCATCTATTCCATACTTATCTTCTATGTTATGATTTACATATACTGTCTCCCCTATTAGAATATAAGTTCTTGGAGATCAGGGCTTGTTTTTACTTTTTCTCTAAATCCTCCATGCTTAGTACAGTGTCTGGCACACAGTAAGTATTTAATAAATGCTTGTTGATTAATTGTATGCTATAT